TGTCACCTTCCCCACCTCCCCCCGTAGCTCACCTTCGTGGATTTCTTGGCGTACGACGTGCTGGACCAGCACCGCATGTTCGTCCCCGAGTGTCCCGAGTTTCAGGGCAACCTGGGCCGGTTCCTGCAGCGCTTTGAGGTGACCGGGGGGGGACACCCCGGGGTCACCGGCCACGTTCCCGACACCTCGGTGTCCCCGTCCCCAACACCCCACTATCCCCATCCCCAACGCACTGGTGTCTCTCTCCCCGTCCCTGAGGAGGGGGGGACACCCCGGGGTCACCGGCCACGTTCCCGACACCTCGGTGTCCCCGTCCCCAACACCCCACTATCCCCATCCCCAACGCACTGGTGTCTCTCTCCCCGTCCCCAATACCCCGCTGTTCCAGGTCACAGCCACATCGCTCAGGTGTCCCCTGTCCCCATCCCTAACACCCTGGTGTCCCCATCCCTCAAAGCCCGGTGTCCCCATCCCCAACACCCTGGTATCCCTGTCCCCAACGCCCTCATGGCCCTGTCCCCCTCCACACCTCTGACTCCCTGATGTCCCCATCCCTGACACCCCAGTGTCCCTGTCCCCATTCCCATCCCTCACACCCCAATGTCCCCATCTCCGTCGCCATCCAAGATATGCCGATGTCCCCGGCTCCATCCCCGGTGTCCCTGTCCCCATCTCTGACACCTCAGTGTCCCCATCCCTGGTGCCCCGGTGTCCCTGGCCCCATGCCGGATACCCTGCTGTCCCCATTCCCCACACCCTGCTGTCCCCATCCCTGTCCCCAACACCCTGATGTCCTCGTCCCCATCCCTAACACCCCAGTGTCCCCATCTCCATTGCCATCCAAGACACCCCAATGTCCCTGTCCCCATCGCTGGCACCCTGGTGTCCCCATCCCTGTCCCCTATACCCTGGTGTCCCCTTCCCTGCCCCCATCCCGGTCCTTCAGTGTCCCTATCCCCATCCATGACACCCCGATGTCCCCTTCCCCATCCCCAACACTCCGGTGTCCCCATCCCTATCCTGGACATCTTGATGTCCCTGTCCCCATCACTGACACCCCGGTGTCCCCATCCATATCCCCAACACCCCACTGTCCCTGATCCCACCCTGGACACCCTGGTGTCCCCATCCTGGAGACCCTGGTGGCCCTGGCCCCATCCTCGTCAGACCAATGTCCCCAGCCCGGTCCCCGACACCCTGGTGTCCCTGTGCCTGATCCCGACACCCCAGCGTCCCCATCCCTGTCGCCATCCCTCATGCCCCAGTGTCCCTATCCCTCTCACCCCAGTGTCTCCATCCCTGTCACCCTGGTGTCCCCATCCCTGTCCTTATCCCTGTCTCCCCAGTGTCCCCATCCCCGACACCCCAGTGTCCCCATCCCCGTCCCCATCCCCGT